TTCAATGTGTCTATCAAGCTAGCACAACCTCACCTGGTTAACTAGTTCACTAGTTACTAGCCGGTCCTAAGCCCTGGTAAATAGGGAAGGTTGGGCATAGGGCTAGCAACCCTACCCCGTAAAACAAATCCAACCACTAAACAAACTTCAAAGCACAAACAAAATATAAAAAATAACAAAATTATTTCCTCGCTGGAATCGGAGAGGCGAAATGACGCCAGTTGGTGAAAGTTTGCCTTCGGGAAGCCAATTGACCAGGCCGATGTGTCTTCTCTCCCTCGATGAAAGCGAAAGTAAAGGTGGTGACATGGAATGTCCGCACGATGTTTGAACCCAGTAAGGCAGCCCAGATTGCAAACGAGATGGAGAGGTATCACATTGAAGTGCTTGGAATATGCGAAAGCAGATGGAATGGGAGTAGACCCTCCAAACTATCAACTGGAGAGCAGTGTCAATAATCTACTCTGACATTGTCACACAGACGACAACCACGAGCTCACTGAGTTTTGGAGTGGCCATCATGATGTCCCCGACAGCATCGAAGGCTCTCATGCAGTGGGAACCAATCTCCTCCTGTGAGATCATGATAGCAAGGTTCAACTCAAAAGGAAGAAAGGTCACAATCATACAATGCAAAGCTATACACATACAAGTTACTATCCATGGGTCGAGAAGCGCTATGTGAGGTGATGAACGAGAATGGAGAATTGTTTGCAAAATTCTGTGTATTCAACGATTTGGTGATTGGAGTGAGGCGGTGTGTTCAAGCACAAGAATACCCACAAAGGGAGCGACATGGATTTCACCAGACACCAGGACACACTAAAAATCACATCGACTTTATCTCAATCTCAAGAAAGTGGAGACGCAGTCTACTTGACACAAGGTCAAGAAGAGGAGCAGATGTAGGTTCACACCACTCACTGTCTAGTGCAAAGAACCTTCCAAATCAAGTTAAAAGCCTTCAAGGAAGCTGGTGATAGACCACAGTTGAAGTACAACACTCGGAAACTGAAGGATGAAACTACAAAGGAAATCTTCACGGCAGCCAGCCATCAAGACAAGATGGGAGATATCGAGGAACATCCCTGGAGAAATCTGTGTGGAAGAACACTGGAAGTCTTTGAAAGCTGTGTGGAAAGAAACCTGCACAGCCGTTTTAGGAAGGAAGAAGATAAGGAATGGATCTCGACGAATACCTGGAAGCTGATAGAGGAGAGGAGGATGGTGAAACAGAAGATAAACCAGTGCAAGGATGCTCAACGACAAGAGGAACTGAGCACAATGTATAAAACACTACACTGGACAAAGAAGTGAAGGAGAGTGCAGGGAAAGACAAAAGACACTTCTACGACACATTGGCAAGTGAAGCAGAACAGGCTGCTGGTTGGAGAGAGAGACCTGACGACATTGTATCAAATAACCAGGTTACTATCTGGCAGGGAAGAGACCGACACAGATGAAACCAATAAAAGATGATGAAGGAAATTTAATTAGGAAAGAAGAGAAACAGAGGAAACAATGGGCTGACCACTTCAAGAAGCTCTTGAATCGACCACCACCACCACCACCTACACTTCGTCCAGAAATACCACCTACAGCCCAGCGGCTGAACTACAAGTGAACATAAATCCTCCAACAAAACTGGAAGTCCTGAACGCCATAAAGCTACTGAAATATGGGAAAGCAGCAGGCCCAGATAGGATCCCACCAGAAGCACTGAGAACAGACGCAGAGACAACTGCAGCTGACATGCTCACTCCACTATTGCAGGTGTGGAGTGAAGAGAAGGTACCTGGCTAGTGATTGGAAGAAGGGTTACCTTGTCAAACTGCCGAAGAAGGGAGACCTCAGTGTTTGCAAAAACTGGCGAGGAATCACTCTCCTGTCCACCCCAAGCCAGCAACATCTTAAGCCGTATCATCCTGGAGAGATCAAAGGATGCACTGGATTCAAAACTACGACCGGAACAGGCTGGCTGTCTGGCTGGATTCAGGAAGTACAAATCATGTGCGGACCAAATTGCTTCGCTACACTACGCATCATCATAGAACAGAGTATAGAATGGCTTTCAACACAACTCCACCTCAACTTTATCGACTTTGAGAAGGCCTTTGATAGCGTCGACCGAGAGGTAGTTTGGAAACTGCTTCAATACTAAGGAATACCACAAACCTTTATCCGCCTCATTCAACAACTATATGAAGACGCCACATACCAAGTAATTCACAATGGGAAGCTCAGTGATGCTTTTGAAGTGAATATAGGTGATAGGAGTAGAACAGGGCTGTCTACTATCACCCATGATATTCCTGGTTGTAGTGGACTGGACTGGATCATGCAGCAAACAGTGGGGAGCGAGAAGAGGGGGATACGCTTGACAGTGGAAAGGAACCTAGGAGATTTGGATTTCACCGATGACTTGTGTTTGATGTCACACAAACTTGAAGATCTACAGGCGGAAACTAACAAGTTGTCAGAAGAGGCGAGGCAGTGAAGACGGGACTTCAAGTGAGTCTAGAGAAGACAGAGGTGATGGAGATACCCAACCAACAACATCATCAACAACAAGCTCCAATCACCATCAATGGGAGAAACTTAAAGGAAGTAGCCTCCTTCACCTATCTAGGCAGCACTATTTCAACTACAGGCGGCACAGACGGGACGTCAAAACCAGCCAGGATCGGAAAGACAGCGAGAGAGGCGTTTAGCAACCTGAAACCAGTGTGGAGATCTTCTGAACTCAGCATGTGGAACAAGATCTGGATTTTTCAACACCAACATCAAATCAGTGCTCCAGTATGGTTCAGAGACTTGGCGCGTTACGAAAGGGATTTCCAATAAACTGGGAACGAACCAACCAACAACCTATCACCCAACAAATATGCACTGGAAGGAAGTGGAGATGGATTGAGATGGGCATACATTGAGAAGGCCGACTGGGGACATCGCGCACCAGGCCCTCAAGTGGAACCCCCATGAGAAGCGGTGAGTTGGGCGTCCGAGGGTGACATGGAGGAGATCGTGTGAGGAGGAAATGAGGGCTTGTGGGCTGTCGTGGAGCCAGGTTCAAAGATTTCAGAGAACAGAGTTGACTGGAGATGTGCTACTGAAGCCCTATGTTCCATTAGGAACCCAAGGGACTTATAATAATAGAAAATAATGATCAAGCTAGTACACTGATCATCGTGGTGCACTTTGATGGATGTTACTGACCAATCAATGTGTGTGGTTCAGTCCTACAGGAACTCAGTCTCGAAAAGAATAGCTCAGTGGTAGCGTCAGTGACTGCAACACTGAGTGACGTTGTTTCATATCTCAGAGGAGACATCAGTTACCTTAAAGTTTCAGATACCCCTTCCTGACGAGAACCAACATGGAAGAAACCTGGGTCAGGCAGGGATTCCTGCTGAATGCCTCCAACCAACTTACATCGATTAAAGTGAAACTCTGATAAGAGAAGAAAAAAATGAATACCAGTGCCACCGTGAGATATATAATTGTAATTATTAACTGTACGCATATTAGTCATGGGTGGAAAGTTGATTTACCTATTTCAACATTGAGTGTAGTCTACGCATCAAGTTTTGTAACTTAACCAGTAAGCAAACTGGTATGACAATATAGATTCGTCTTGCTGGTGAGTACCAAGAAGCACGGAACATATTTCCTCAGCTTCCGAGAGGTTGACCTTCAATGTCAAACCATTCTGGTTCGTCGACTTTATTCAAATCATTCTCAACGATATACAATGTTCTTCGAAAGCCAGGGTGGGCAGTTAGTTTGATAGTGTACACACATGGAAATCATATCCCATTTTTTGACTTGTAAAGTTTACGGCCGTGGTCCAGATTTTCATCTCACTTTCAGTCATCACCCAGTATGAACACAATTCATCAGTTGGAGAGTCCTGACCGTTATGTGACCAAGGCTTATTTCTCCGCCAAGCTCATGTCATAACCACCATTGTAATACTAGTTTGAATAGAATTACGTATGCTGTCAAAGTATTGAAACTCCTTACAACTGGTCGATAAGTGCACCAAATTTAGTCAATGTTATCATTTTTCGGCATGTTTGCATCACAATTCACGATTCTGCTGGTCAGACGTAAGATTTGACTTTATGGTAGGAATCGTTACGGACTGACATCATTTGGAGAATTCTTGAGAAAGTGTTGTCACTGGACAGCTTTTTTATCCTAGTATGGGACATCAAGAAGGATGCTTCCATGTTCCGAGGTTCTTGACAGTACTTAAACTAATATCAGTCCATGATAAATGCTATATTAACCAAGAAATTCCTATTAACCTCAAAATACCCAACTTTATTGTCCTCATTGGTGACATTCTTCGAGATGAATATCCTGAAGCTCTCATGAAAAGCCGCGACCTGTGGGAACAGTCAGTCAGATAAAACTGATCATAAACTACAGGATTAGAAAGAAAAGTGAATATTTTATGATTTATTCACTTACTTTTATGTTTGAACAGAACCTAGAAGTACTTTAGCAAAAGGTTCATATCTACTGATTTTTGACAAAACGTTTATAACATACTTGCATAGTGGTAAGAATTGTTTTATTAGAGCTAGTGTTTTTTGGTAAATTTAAGAAAATTCCCTAAATGATGCATATTTTGTGGGTGCGTTATACCAAAATGACAGATGAATAACTGCCTGCTGTGAACTTCAGTTTTTAAAAGAACTTCCTCTACTAGAAACATCAGCTTCATGTTGTTGTAAGACGATAGATTTTTACCAGCAATCTAGGAAATGAATAATCATCGATGTAAGCTTATCATGGGGATAAATATGCAGATTTATAAAAGGTAATCGACGTGTCTCTAACTAGATTTCACTACTTTCAACGATGTACTCCAGTATGCTATCACAGAAATATAAAGAAAAATCATCGTTTCGACCATAAGTGAAGATAACAGAAATTATTTAATCTGAAATCAATGAAATGTTAAATTCAAAGAAGTAATATGAAAAATTACTCTGACGTTTGTAATTGTATACCATAGTAAACTTGTGAAGATAAAATGAGTTCATTATGTTATGCACAGAGAAATGAAGAACCTCTGAAGAAACAATAGAGTCATCATTGGAAAAGTTCACTGTTAGAAGTGAATAAATAATTCATAATCTACTTTATCAAAATTGGTTCTCCACCAATTTCTTCCCTTCTTCATTTTTGTTTGCGTTGACGCACAATAAGCCAATTTAACAATAATAACAAAAAGAAGGAAGCTATGAAAAAGCGAAATACCCATATACTTCCGGTTTGTGCCAGATATCCGTTGTATTGCTATTGTTGTTCCTTTCGGCTAGGAGAGGAGAGCATTCAACAGCATAATATTTTGGATGTATAGCTAATGATTCCAAACGTTCCAACACAACAGGTAAAGGACAGCCATCCAAAAACTCTCCAGCATAACATATTGGCATGGACAAATACTCTCCATTTTCATCTTCCCAACCTCGTTTATAGAATAATTTCACAATCAATTGACTTGCATCAACTGGTTCTGGAGGACCGTATACCTCCAATGATACAACAGAAGCGTATTCAATTGTTTTATTGTTGGAGATGTGAAAAGCAGTTAAAATGGATGCCACATGAATATCATCTACTGAATAGACCATCATATGTTTGTTAGACATTTTGATATTGTTTGGCAAGTTGATAGATTTTTCGCGAATGATTCGATTGATATGTTCAACGATACTATGGAAGAGCAGTCCACTTTGTAGACGAGCAACTTCTAAAGATTTTGCATATTTCTCCTGAAATGAGTAAGATAAATTAGATGTGGACAGTGAGTTAGTTATGAGGTTATTTTGGGTGACCAGGTGTTGACTAAAATGGGGTGTGGAGTAGTGTTATGATTACTGAGGAGATCATTTTTGAATGAAATGGTGATAAAGTTGAGTAGCCTGATGATGAAGCATTGAAGAATAAGCATTACTGGTCCATGAACACCAATCAATGATCATATCGATTCAGAGGTTTGTTTGGATTTGTTTGTTGATTTCAGGTTGATATTCATGATGAACTGATATCATTTGGAGAATTGGTGGAGACCTGGTTACAGTGGTCTCTGGAACCACTCACAAGTAATTACTCATGACTCCATCAGGAATCAAATTCAATAGCTTCTGGTTCCGTGGTCAGTATGTTGCATTTGAGCCGAATTGTAACCATGCAATGGTACACATTTCATACTTCTGTCACTTCAGTATATATTATCGCCAACTCTATCCAGTGTCGTCGTTGAGTAACTATCCACATATCCGACTTGCTTGTCCTCAACAGTCACACCATCTCATTAGGTCTTCGTGAATCTCACCTACAAGCAATTCACTAATGAACAGTGGAGTAACTCACCTTGCAGGTTTGTGAGGATTTATTCATTGAATTCAGATTAATATTCATCATAGAGGTTGGATGTGAGGACAGTGGTAGTTGGAGGTGGCTGTATATCCTGAAGTGATGGAAGAAGTGAATGTGTTCCAGTTGATGTCAACCTACTGGCTTAAAGGTGAGGTGCTGACCACAGAAGCTGAGGGTGGTGGTTTCAATCCCTGAAGTGGTCATTGTGGTGTAATGTTGAAGAGACCAGCATAAGGACTAAACAGCTGTCCAGTCCTCCCAGATTTCCAATGTTTCTCCAGCTGCTGTCAGTCCTTGATGAAAATCAACCTGAAATCCATTGTCAATTCAATGTGTAACTAACCGTTCAGGTCAGTGTTACGATTTCCAGTAACCAGATACTTGTGAAGTGGTGTTTAACACTGGTATCTGGAACAACAATACTTGTGATCTAGTTATCTTGATGTGACAGTTCATAAAGTTTATTTTCAAGAGACAAATGGAAGTCTGGATGAGTGGAGAGTTATGAATTGAAATGGTGGAGGATATTTGTAGCTCAGGTGGATGTGGTGATGGTGGTGGTGGTGTTTTGTGTTCTCTTCACCAAGTGAAATGGGAATGTTGCCGAACGCCAAGACTTTAATTTCTTCAACTGCTGAGACTTCGAGAAGGGGAAATAATGACTTCATACATCAAACCATATACCAACTTGCTTGATAATGTTCTTCTTGAGGTGATTCATATGCAACTATGAAATAAAATCAACTTCATGCAGTAGTCAACAGAGCAATAGTTCACTTCAAATTATACAAAGTGTGAAGAAACTCGTGTTCAACAGATTTGCATAAAAGCTGTAACAAAGTCAAATTACAAGTGTATCTAATATATTTGAAAACAGAGGAGATGTCTTGTTCCCTGAGAATTCCGATATGGGTAAACTCCGTTTCTTCACAAAAGTTCTCACTGCATCTCAAATCATTATTTCTTCCTACTAATTGTATTTTAGTCGCATCTGTTTCAGTTTCTTTGCTCCATATCTCAGGTTAGGTGACGATTTGAATTACAGACTCTTTCAGTTGTCAACTGACTTGAAGTTGGCTAATGAAGATATTTGTAGAGTGTGTGATATATTAGTGATAGACATTGCTAACAATCAGATCACATATAGACTCGTTGGATTATTGGTATCCACATTCACTCAGATGGTTAGTGAGGTCGAAAGGAAGGACAAGAATGGAGAGTAGACAGCGAAAATGAAATGTGAATAACATTACACTTGGTATGAATGAGAATTGAAGTGTTTGCTATTGAGTTAGGTTGAATGTCAGTACAAATTATTTTGGTGTAGAACAAGTGGGTTGAAATTTACGGATGATTAGGAGCTTCGATAGATATAAGCATTCATCCCCCACCAATTCTATGTGATACTTGAAAGTGTGTTTTGTGATCCACCCTGTGATCAGTTTCTAGTATAGATTTGATGAGAGAAGAAAATGGATGTGTGTCACCTGCTTCTTTCATGGGATCATTGGAGGTAATTTGGTTTTGAGCCACTTAAGCATATGTGAAATTCTTTATAACTGGATATCATGATTACTTCTTCGTATGTGTGCGTCTATACATATGTGTGAATTGTTGAACAGAGTGGGATGTTGTGAAATCGTTTATTTCTTGTATTGATTTGTGTTGGTGAGTGAACTTAGTGTTTTCCACAAATATGACCATAGGTGTACAGTGTGTTTTTCAGGTGACTGATCTAAGTCAATTTTTTCAGGTAGGCTAAATAACACCTCCACGTGACAATGAAACCTCGCCGGGTAACTAGCTCGCTAGTTACTAACCGATCCTAAGCCCGAGTAAAGAGGGAAGTTTAAGCGTGAGCCTTGCAACACTACCTCGGAAAAGTGATCCAATCGCTAAAGAAATTATAAAAAATAAAAACAAACTCATTTCTTGCTGGAATCGTAGAGATCAAATAACGTCGGTTGGTGAGAGCCTTCAGGATGTCAGTAGGCCAATGTGTCTTCTCTCATTGGAAGAGAAAGTAAGGATGGTGACATGGAATGTTCACACCATGTACGAACCTATCAAGGCTGTCTAAATTGTAAAAGAGGTGATAAGGTATGCAATAGAAGTGCTAGGAATATGGGAAAGCAGATGGAATAGAAGTGGACTCTCCAAACACTTAACTGGAGAGTAAATAATCTACTCCGATATTGTCTCCCAGACAACAATCACGAACACACTGTATGAGTGGCTATCATGATTTCCCAAAGAACATCGAGGGATATCATGCAGTGGGAACCAGTCTCCTCTTTCGAGATTAGGTTCATGGCATTTAGATTCAACCGAAAAGGAAGGAAAGTCACAAAGATACAGTGCTACACTACGCGCCAATAAATAATGCAGATTATGAGAAGGATGAGGAATTCTACAGACAACTGCAATCAGTACTAGACAAGACTCCAGTTGGCGATGGCGACGTCAGAATTCTAATGGGTGACATGAATGCCAAACTGGAAGAGAACTCATCATGGGTGGAGAAGCACTCATTGAAATGATGAACGAGAATGGAGAACTGTTTGCAGACTTCTGCGCATTCAATGACTTGGTGATTGGAGGAAGTCAGTGTGTACAAACACAAGGTTATTCACAAAGTGACATGAATTTCACCAGACACCAGGACACATTACACTAAAAATCAGATCGACTTCATCTCAATCTCACGAAAGTGGAGACACAGCCCACTGGACACAAGATCAAAAAGAGGAGCAGAAGTAGTCTCAGACCACTATCTAGAGCAAGGAACACAGCTTCAAAATCAAGTTGAAAGCCTTTAAAGAAGTTTGTGATAGACCACAGTTGAAATTCAACACCCAGAACAGAAACTGGAGGACAAAACTATAAAGGACATCTTCACCTCATCCATCATGACAAGATCGGAGATATTGAGCAGCATCCGTGATGAAACCTGAGTGGAAGAACACTGGTACTCCTTGAGAGAGAGTAGTGGAAGGATACCTGCATAACTGCAGTAGAAAGGAAGAAGAAGCAAGACAAGGAGTGGATCTCGATGGAGAAACATGGGAGCTGATAGAGGAGGGAGAGGAAGATGGTGAAGCAGTGCAGTGCAGTGCAGTGCAATGCAGTGTAGGGATGAACAACGAGAAGTGGAACTGAGTACAATGTGTAAAACATTACACTGGACAAAGAAGTGAAGAAGAGTTCTCGGGAAGACGGAGGACACTTCCACGACACATTGGCAAGTGGGGGAGTACAGGCTGCAGGCTGAAGGTAGGAGAGACCTGATAATACTAACACTATATCAGACAACCAAAATACAATCTGGGAAGAGGTCAACACAGGTGAAGTCAACTTAAGCTAATGAAAGGAAATTAGTTACCAAAGAGGAGAAACGGGGAAAACGATGAGCTGACCACTTCAAAAAGCTCTTGAAACGACCACCTTCTGCAACTTGTTCAGAAATACCACCAGCGACGTCAGGACTACAAATGAACACAGGCGGTCCGACAAAAGTAGGGGGGAATTCCTGAATGCCATAAAGTTACTGAAGATCATGAGAGCAGCAGGACGAGATGGAATTCCTCCAGAAGTACTGAAAACAGACACAGAGACAACAGTGGACATGCCCACACCATTATTGCAGAAGATTTGTAAAGAAGAAAGGAAGGAAGGAAAGGTACCTGCCGATTGGTTGGAAGAAATGCTACGTTGTCAAACTCCCAAAGAAGGGCAACCTAAGTGTTTGCAAGAACTGGCAAGGAATCGTGCTTCGGTTCACCCCAAGCAAAATACTATGCCGCATCATCGTGGAGAGACTAAAGCCCGCACTGGATTCAAAATTACGACCTGAACAGGCTGGCTGCCTGGCTGAATTCAGGAAGTACAAATCATGTGCGGATCGAATTGCAACGCTTCACTACGCATCATCATAGAACAGAGTATAGAATGGCGGTCACCTCTTTTCTTCAAAGACCTTCAACAGCGTCGACCGAGAAGTAATTTGGGAGTTGCTTTAACACTATTGAGTACCACAAATCTTTATGAATCTCATTCAACAACTATATGAAGACGCCACATACCAAGTGATCCACAATGGGAAGCTCAGTGATGCCTTTAAAGTAAAGACAGGAGTAAAACAAGACTGTCTACTATCACCCATGATCTTCCTGATTGTGGTGGACTGGATCATGCAACAAACAGTGAGGAGCGAGACGATAGGCATACGGTGGACCAATGAATAGACCCTAGAATATTTGGATTTCGACGATGAGGGTTTGTGTCTAAAGTCACAGAAACTCGAATATCTACAGGCGCAAACTAACAAGTTGACAGAAGAGGTGAGGCAGCAAAAACGGGACTTCAGATGAATGTAGAGAAGACAGAGGTGATGAGGATACCCAACCAACAATAACAACAACATAAACAACAACATGCACCAATCACCATTAAAGGAGGTAGTCTCTTTCACCTACCCACCTGACTAGGCAGCATCGTTTCATTTACAGGTGGCACAGGCACAGACGAGGATGTCAAAAGCAGGATCGGAAAGACAGCAAGATAGGCTTTCACTAATCTGAAATCAGTATGGAGATCTACTGCACTCCACTCAGCACAAAGAACAAGATCCGGATTTTCAACACCAATTCAGTCAAGTCAGTGTTGCTATGTAGTTGAAAGACTTGGAGTATCATGAAAAGCATTTGCAACAAACTACAGACATTCATCAACAGCTGCCACCTACGCTCAGTCGATACTGAAGATCAGATGTCCAGAATAATAAGAATGAGCAACAAGGAACTGTGGGAGCAAATCAACGGAGAACCTATCGCCCAACAAATGTGCAGAAGAAGGAAGTGGAGATGCATTGGTTTGGGCATACACTGAGAAGGTCGACTAGGAACACTACTCGCCAGGCCCTCGTGCGGGATCCAAATGGGAAACGATGAGTTGCGCGTCCGAGCTGAGGGTGATATGGAGATCGTGTGAGGAAGAAATGAAAGGTTGTGGGCAGTCGTGGCGCCAGGCTGAAAAGACTGCAGAGAACAGAGTGCAATGGAGGCGTGCTACTGAAGCCCAATGTTTCACCAGGAACCCAAAGGAACTAATAATAATAATAATATTAGCGTGACAATGAGATGCAGATTTTAATCTTTGGACTGAACACTGAATAAGTGTACGTGCTGTATTACTTGTGCACCTGCTTATGAATTTCAACGGGTACTCATTCGCCATCATTGTAACCGTCAACAGCTAACTTCCATATTCCTTTGTTCAATTTATCCCCTCAAAATAAGCATTTAATTAAACTGCCTTCTTATTGGACTTGATGGTAGGTATGGATTTCGTAACGGTATCCACCGTGATTGTCTAGATTCCTCAGACAACATCGAAACCACAGAAATCTCTCAGAACAAATAAATACACTGCAAATTTTCCAATGAAAGGCACATGATGGTATGTGTAGATGACAGATTGGTTGATGACGCAGAATCAATAGGGAATGTCTTTCTAGAAAGGCTTGAAAATGGGTAAGGCCACTGAAAATGTTTCCAAACCATTGTATTCCGTACATGATTTGACGTCGCTCCACACATCTATTCTCTTACTGCTGTATGTGTATCAAGGGGCTAAATGTTAACATGTCCTGGATCTTATTTCACTCATCAAGTTCGATTGACTGACTCAAAATTGATACAAACTTCTGAGCTGAATTGCAAACCACCAGCGCTTGATTTCTACTTTAGAAATATAGCCAGAGAAATGTTGTTCTCTGCGTCAGTGTTTTCGCATGGTCAATGAAGACAGCCAACTTCTCGTGTCAGAAAAGTTGACATCCTGCATACAATGTTTAATTTATCTCAACCTCTTATAATCAAGATAGCTTTAGAAGTGATTGAGATCAATAAAGTCTGTCCACGAAAATGAATTGAATCTAATTATAACTTGATGACTTACCGTCCAGTAGAAGTTATCTACTTCAAATATCTCATGCAACACTTGTTCCGTGCACCAACCAGGTAGGGAGACATTACTGCCTTTCATACATTTGAGGAAATCAGCAAGCTTTCCGATGTTGAATCGATCAACATGCAAGCCAGTGACATTTGTCAGCATTGTAAACAAAGATTTGTGTTGTCTTTCGAGTTTGATTGAATCATGCATATGCATTCGGAGGTGTTTCAAAGAGTTGAGACGTGGACATCGATTTCTGCCCCGTAGGAAATCAGAAGGCTAAATTTGAAGGAAACAAGATTTTTTGTATGCATATTGGTAATGTATTACACTTGGTTTTCTGTCATAGAATGTTGCATTGGTAATGTCTTCAGAAAAGACGACTTCAGAGCTGTGAAGTTAACACTAACAAATATGAACGGCAGAGTTGATGTACTCGCTAGTGATAACTTGTATCCATAACCAAATTGGTCTTTATTATCCCATTTCTAGAAATGCAGGTTTGAATGGAGAGTGAATCATATAATTGTGCCATGCTGAAATTTGACTGGAGATATATGTATATATAGGTATGCATAAATTCTACCAGACAGGACTTCTTCGAAGGGCTCAATGGAATAACTTAATTTCCTCAGAAGTTTCATTCAGATACATTCACCTTAAGTTACAAGTAATAATTATTGGGTGTGTGCACAAGAAGAAAACGTTAGTGTTGATTGAAGTTTCATCGTATATCAGTAAGTTTTAGTTACCTCGAAATAGGTCTTAACAATGTGGAACTTTGGTTAGTTGTGGCTAGCATGGAATGCAGGAAGCACGTTTTATTCTATTTGGGACTCGTTGGCTGCTAGCTACAACCAACCAAATTATGATACTTAACATTCAGGCAATATCGAGACATTCAGACAAAAGCCCATATGCCAGTGATGGTCGAAGAATTCGATCCAATCAAACAAAGGAGAATTACAAGTATATCAATAGGTAGTAATGTGGAACTGTGGTTCAGTGGTTCAGGTAGGTGGCAATCAACCAGTTGGTCACAGGTTTGAACCCTATTCCATATACCGAGATTTGGACAACCAGATAGTATCACTGACCCTTACACAATAGGCGTGGCTTACTGCCTACTGCAACGATGTGGAGAAGGGGAAGTCCAGTGACCCAATGTTGTCAACAATTAGTAATTACTACTAAAGTGCTGATGCACCAGTGATTGGATAAAGGTAAATAAAGTTATGTGAAATAAGTTGTTTAGAAGTACATTCAGAGGATTATAACTTTATAAAACATAAAAAGGTATCACTTATAATTATTTTAGCTCCAAGAAAAATGGACGAGTATATACTTAGCAAGAATAAAAAGTATAATTTTCCAGTGTACATCCAATAAAATATCTGGAATACAATTGCTTGCATGTATATATATATATATATATATATATATATATATATATATCGACTGCTTTCATCACTTTTCTATAACTTCACACCAATGTTATCATCAAACTTACATGTGGCAGTATGTGAACAGGTACAGGAGACCAGTGCACATTGAATTCATCAAGAGGTGACAGAGACTGACTATAGAATCCAGCTGAATTCGCCATAGCTGACATCAAACTCCTATCTTTCTTCATACTCTTTATACGGTAGGTTGAACTGGTGTATGTTTCAGGAATGAAATGACCATACTTTCGTCGTAACCATTGGCCTAGAAGAAATTGTTGTCGAACACCAATACCTGTAAGTTCGCCTAAGCCTTGTGGCCAAACTTCTTGAAAATTATTATAAATTTCTGGTATCGGATGCATCGATGATCTGTCTCCGTGGTGGAATATCAAATGAACGTGTTGTAGTTCACTGTTGACTGGTTGATGTGTGTGACTTGCTTTATTGTTGTCAGTGCAATCATTTCCTTGACAAGATGTGTTGGTGAAGGGAGTGCAGGAAAGAGTGATGCCGAGAAGAATCAGTATGGATGTCTTCCTCATGATTGATAATCAAGGCAGTAGCAAGTGATACTCTGTTGAATGAAATGAATTTATAATTGTTGCAATTGAATGTTTCAAAGTGTCATTTGTTTGTGATTGGTGCATCAAGTTGAATTGGAATCGATTTCAATTGACTATGGCTGATATATCTCGTTTTATGTGTGTGTTGTCGATTAGTTATATTTGAGTAGTTGAAGTGTTTCACGTTATCATGATAAGTGTTTGTTTCGGTAACTATTTGTTGATGCAGGTGTACAAAGTTCGTGAAGATATTTGAGTTGAGATCTACTTATATGTTAAATGTGGCGTATTTGGTTGTTTTGTTGGTGATTGATTCGACGAGTAACTCGAGGTTTAAACCTATAATTTACATCTGCTTTAAACACATGCCACAAGCATTTTAATCGAAATTCACTCACCATCAAATTTCGATGATGGCTTACACTTTTCCGATCTCAATCCAGCTTCAACCATGAACACCACTTCCGTTGACATCTTGATATGACTCATAATTATTGAGTGCTTATGCCTTCGATGCAAATATATTCCATGTAGCTGATTAGTCATGAATCCTCTTATTTCCCTTTCTTTTCTGTATTCTCAACTATGGTGGCGACTTCCACAAACGAGTTTGTACATTCTGCTCTATGAAACCTTATCACACCATACAGGTGTTGATGAACAGTTGGTGGTTGAGACAGCAACACCGGCATATCAGAAATGCAATTATTGTTATGATTTCGAGTCGTGAGTAATGGAGTGCAAATACGAAGTGTTGATTCATCATGAATAGGCGTTTATTTTCTACAAGTTGTTTTCTTGAGTCTGTGTACTTGTACTCATATATTCAATGCAGGTACATAACAGTTTTATATGCGATTTATTGGAGTGAAAATACGTCACTGAAATAGTGTCTGGAAAATAAATTCGAAAATGCATTTTTGCAAGGGAATAGACTGCATGGTTGTGCATGGAAACAATGAAAGTGATGTTTATAAAATATGGAGGTGAACAACATGGTCTCAAGTCGAATTCTACTTAAGTGATATGAAGGAAGCGAAGAAAGGTAAGAATAGTTTTGTACACTTTTTCTGCAAATGTGTGTGAAACTTGAATGCGCAAACTGTCACTGCCTCTGCAATGTACTAGTTAGAATGTTACATTCTTTTTGAAGTATTTGCTACTGCTTTGTTGATAATTTTGAAATGTGACTGCAGTGAAATTGTTTGAGCATAGCTGACTCAAAGTTCTATAATCCACCTGCTATCTGACTTAAACTCTCCGCTTGTTAGTCAGGCAAGATAATGTTTTAGGATATGTTTGGATTAGGCACACTTTATCTGATCTTTATAAATAGCTCTCAGGCAACGATTAAATTTGTCGATGGCTAAATATGGTAACTTGTCATTTACATGGTCAGGAATCATCTGTTAAGTAGGAGAAAAGTAATCAGTAAGGGACTGTTCATTAATCTAGATAGACCATTGTTCAGCATTTTTATTGAAGTATCGTCTTCTTAATCAAAAATCATAAGTGAAGTCCAATTTAGAACTGTAAATTTGTCCAGTATGACTTTGGTTTCTAATCTTTCTTCATAAACTTATCTGGATTTCCATTTTACATGAAAATATGTGAAGTCCATCAAACTTGTCATCACTTCTGCCATTCACGCAAGTTCTGTCAATTCTAAGCATACCTAGAGTTAAGATAAGCAATTTTGCTACTTATCTATTCCACGTCGAATTTCTACGAATCAAACAGATTTCATTTTAATTCAAGTTTTGATCTGTATTAGCCTCAAATTTGACTTTAAATCATTCAAGGAATACATCACAATCTTCTCTAGGCTGACTATAAAGCATTCCAATATCAGACATGTAAGAGGTGACTTCCATACCAGTACATCTATTTGTTTCATTCTCATGGCTCTCATAATATTGATGTAACTACTGTGAAAAGCAGACAGAGTTTTACCTGTCGTGTACTGGGTTTTTTCCGACCTCTGATGGTCGTCCCACGTTCTCTTGACTTCAAAAAATCTCTCGTTTAATGTAATACATAAGGGAACTGAGACTGACTGACATTACTCAGACTCTATTCATACAATAAAGTTATCACTATATTTTACCTATTCTTTTTATGATTCCCCATTAATCTTTTGAAGTATTTCATAGGAGGACAATGATATCACTCCGTAAGGCTTTTAAAGCTGACAATAAAACTAATGGCAAACTTGAGAAGGCTGTTTCCAACCTAAAAGGATGCAAACAAGCAGGGCTTCACAGTTCATCACAAGACACTTATAAAGATGGAACTGGGAATTTGCAAATTGGAATAAGTGAAATAGTCACTAAGGTATATAAATCAGAGGTATTCCAGTCAGAGTGGTCTAGATAGCAGACCACTTCACTTCTTGAGAAATGAGTGAAGTCTTTTTGTATGAACAACAGAAGTGTCAGGTTCACTAACATCTTGTCTCAGACCCTAGGGTGCTTAGTCAACCCACGACAGACTAGCGCTTGAGAACAAAAAGATTGGAGGAAACAAAAAAGGTTCATTATTGGTTCAGGGTACATCGTTCAAATACCACTCTCCGAAAAATTGTAATGCACAGGCGTGCTTACTTTCTCTCACACTCAACATTTAACTCTGTTGAACAAGTGGTGTTGTGGAAGTGTCTCACTGTGTAAGAAGTATTTAACACCTATATTGTTTTAATCAAAGTTCTTTACATGAACTCATGTAGCTATGTAGCAGCTTTTATGCAGCTGTCATCTAAATTCACACCGACCTCTGGGTTCACTATAGTTGCATATGCCCAGTCACCTATTTAAACGTACGACGTTAGCCAGTGAGTTGCAAGAGGGCTCGAGATTGACACACCAAGAAGTTAGGCCAGTCTATGAAGTCTCTGATGTTATTCTGAACCATGTAGGGAGGTGTCAAATGCATGTTTGGAATCTTTGACACAATAAGAATCAATGATTGGAGAACCTTGGTAACAAGGCTGAAAATCGGTCACAACTATGTATATGTGTGCAATCTTCGACGTCTTCTTAAGCCTAAATATACACACTAACTTTGATCTGCTATGTGTTTATTTTCTCACAGACCTTTGCCTATTTTGATATCACTTTTTTTCGATCAACTTGTTCTTTTTATACTACTGTGAAGTGTATCAACTTGAACTGAATTTTTTATGCATGAGATTCTTTGATTCGTCTGTTTGTGTATCTGTCTGTCTAATAAATACAGCACGATGGGTGATTTGGTCGACCAGGGGATAATTTGAAGGATAGTTAACTACAAGATTTACACCTTGAGATTTCATTTAATAAATAAAACCGATGAATATCAACGAAGATTAGTAACTATCTTTTCACTTCAAAAAACAATCTGTGAATACCATTTGACTAGTTTCGTGCCATAGGTATCTACATTCAGCTATAATTCAATCATGAAAAGAAAGAACCTTCCTTTCTCTTTCAACAACAATACAAATTTGAAGATTCCAAGCATAATACAGAATAGGGAACAAAGCATACTCTTTCAAATAACATTTACTTTAAGTTCTACAGTTTTCTTATTTATACTATTAAATCACAGAATAGAATATACGTGAACAATAGTGAGACTTTTTGTCACAGTCTAGACATCTTCTTTAAAATCACCTTACCTTATTCACTATCTTAAGACCGAAAATTTCTGGAATTCTTCAAAATAATGAATTACATAGACGACAGTATGCCCCATGTAACAACACTAGATGGCCAATTTTGTAGCGACACACACTTCGCCAGAATCAGTAGCCTAGGGTTCGTCGAGATTCAGCATTGATGCTGACCTTCATAGTTTTATCAGACTTGCTAAGCTGAAGGCACACGGTCAAGCATCCACGCCAGTCGGCACGCTGTCATGTTACGTTGTACTGCTTGTAATCGGCCTCCTAGCCAGCTAGTCGGAACATATTGTCATTTTGGTACTACCTCGCAAATATACTTTTTCCATTTGAGTACCCTAACCACGCCTGGTTAACTAGTTCACTAGTTACTAGCTGGTCCTAACCCCGGATAAAGAAGGAAGGTTGGCAGTAGGGCTGGCAACCCTACCACTGAAAACCAATCCAATCGCTAAAGAAACTTCAAAGCAAAAAGAAAATATAAAACATGAAAACAAACCTATTCCCCGCCGGAACCGGAGAGACGAAATGACACCGGTTGGTGAAAGCCTTCGGGAAGCCAGTTGGCCGATTTGTCTTCCCTCGAGGAAAATGAAAGTAAGGATGGGGACATGGAATGTCCACACCATGTTTGAACCTATCAAGGCTGCCTAAATTGTAAAAGAGATAAGGAGGTATGGCATGGAAGTGCTTGGAATCCGCGAGGGATAAGCAGGTGGAGTGGAAGAGGACTCTCCAAACTCTTAACTGCAGAGTAAATAATCTACTACGATACTGTCGCCCAGACGACAACCACGAACACACTGGCTGAGTGGCTATCATTATTCCCCAAAGAACATCGAGGGATATCATGCAGTGGGAACCAGTCTCCTCCTTCAGGATTAGGTTCATGACAGCAAGATTCAACTCAAAAGAAAGGAAAGTCACTATCATTCAATGCTACACGCCGAAAAATAATGCAGATCAAGAGAAGGAGGAATTCTACAGACAACTGCAGTCAGCACTAGACAAGACTTCAGTTGGCGATGGCGACATCGAAATTCTAATGAGCGACATGAATGCCAAACTGGAAGCTAACAACACAGGAATAGAACTCATCACGGGTCGAGAAGCACTCATTGAAATGATGAACGAGAATGGAGAACTGTTTGCAGACTTCTGCGCATTCAATGACTTGGCGATCGGAGGAAGGCAGTGTGTACAAACACAAGGTTATTCACAAAGTGACATGAATTTCACCAGACACCAGGACACATTACACTAAAAATCAGATCGACTTCATCTCAATCTCACGAAAGTGGAGACCTGGCCTACTAGACAC